TGATTTATATTTAACTTGTACCTTTCCACTTATATATTCAAATCCGTGCTTCTAGCCAGAGAGGTATAATCACCCCTCACATCTAAAAGTGTTGTATCAAATAGAATGTTTTTAATTAAAAAAAATTGGGTATGATCAAACAGAGCTAGTATTTGATACCAAAAACATATTGCACATAGTATGAATATTGGAATGAGCACATAAAATGTGGTGTGAAAATTTTATTTTTTAGATAATGAACAAACAACCTATGATGGGAAAAGAGTGACATGTTTCATTCTTTTCATATTTATCAGTTATATTGTCCAATTCAACACTACCGTCAACCAGGACTACTCGGGACGGGTGGGGTAACTCGGGACAGTACTCCGACACGGCATAAAACTTTTAGTAGCAAAGCTAATTGGAATATTGCAAAACTAAATATAGTGGCGTAAACATCAACACTTTTCCTATCTGTGTAGTATGAAGGAAGTTCAAAAATACTATATTTACTAGCTTTGAAAAATTCCTGAAAAAAAGTGAAAAACGATATTTTGAAAAGTTTCTTCTGCTAAGGTCTGTAGTAAAAAAAAAGATTTGCCGTATTGAATATTTTCGCTTAGAAAAAAGTGACAGACAAGTGTCGGCATGAAAACTTTATTTGCAGAATTTACATACCTCAATCAAAAAAATGGTGGCCATTTCCGCACGGCGGGGCTACTTGGGACACCCCTCCCCCCGGGGCTATTTGGGACACCCCCAAAAACGCATTTACAGTTAAACCTCAGTTAGCAAAGGCTCCACTTACAAAAAAATTGATTAAAAACAAAGAATATTGATTACATTTACCTCCCTCAGTGAAAAAATTTCACTTGTCAAAAAATTAGTGCATCATTGGACATCACAAAATTGTGCATAGAATGTCATATATAGAGCTGTGCACCAGGCATCATAGAATGAAAAGTAATTGACCTAAACTATGATTTATTTGTCCAAAACATATGATGGTTGTCACTAAAACATTCCTTTCTGTTTCAGGTATGTTTTTCACAATTTTTTTACAGTAAATTCACTTGACCCAATTAAAATGGTGTGATATTACAAGCCATCCTGTAAGCTTACAGATACAGAAAAAATGCTATAGGGCTGCTGATATGAAGCTTGCAGTGGACAAGGTTGTTGTAAATGCTCAATGGCCTGTTCATGGATATGGTAATATTGCATCAATAATACGGTAATATGGCATAAATAATACGGTAATTAATGTATATGGTAATATCATATCAATAATGGAAATACAAGTAAAAATCATGGAAAATGTCATTTATTCTACCTCTACATCATTTACAATGAAAGAGGAGGACTTCAGAGTACTGTTAGTAATGGATGAGTACACTCTGCATGCTTCAAATGTTTTATAATGAAGTTTTATTCCTAGTGTCCCGCGGAGCCTGTTTGACAGGGCTACTAGGGACACTTTTTTGCTTCTGGCACCTTACGAATAGCATATGGAATTTTTTGAGAAGCCATGTGATAGCCCTTGCAAAGAGCTTTGAAATGAGCCTTAACTTGTTTATGAAATGTTTCATGGTAAGAAGTTATGAATGAAAAACATTCGAAATTGTCCAGAGTAGCCCCGGTTGACGGTATTTACAATACATCTCTTTAACTTCACTTCTTATTTGTATGGTGCAAATCTTATAATCAGTCTGTAACACACTTCTACCTGTTCTTATTTATTTATTTATATTTCTTATTTATTTATTTAATCATTTGTTATTATTTTATATGAATTCAAAATGAATAATTTATACACCAATGGAAAGTGAAATTCAAAATTTTATTGTACTCATCTGTAAATGTTTAATATGTCCCCCTTGCACTGCACGGCAAACATCTAAACGGTAGCCAAACTCATTCCATACACAAGAAAGCATATCTTCTATTACTGAGTGCCCCATAGCAGTGATACAGTTCTTAAGATCAATCAGAGTTGCTGGTAGAGGCAGGACATAAACAGAGTTGCTGGTAGAAGTGGGACATAAACAGAGCTGCTGGGAGAGGCAGGACATAAACGGCTTTCTTGAAGTAACCCCTATAATAAATACTCACATGTAGTGAGATCAAGTGATCTCAGTGGCCAACAGTGTAAAGCCAGATCTTTATTCCTTATCTGTCTTATCCAACGCTCGGGAAGTAACAGATTATCAGTCAGATCGGGAAGTAAAAAAAACTGATACTGTTGCTGTTGCCCAATTCTGCACTTGAATAGGTTAAAAAGAATTATTTTGAACCTTTTTCTTTCCATTTGTATATAAATTGATCATTTCAAACTCATACCTGAATAAATACAAATTTATTAAATTGGGTCCATCATATATAATAGCTCTGTATATACTGACAACTTTCATCTATAAGTTTAGAATCAGTCAGTTTAAAGTATCTAGTGCATCAATTATGTGACCTGACTCATAAACAAAGTTAAAATGGAACAAACTATGCAGTTTAGCCTAAGAAAAAATTAAAATTGAATTAAATTCTGTTGATTTTCCATTAATCTTTTAAAAATTGGTATATGTCATGGATCATGTTCATTTAAATTCTTCAGTGGAGGTGCTTGGTTTCTGCTCTGTGATGACAATAGATGCTCAGCAGATGTTCTAAGTTTGCATTCTTCATTCCTAAATACACTATCATCAAACGGGGTAAAAAAGGGATGGGCGGGGTAAATCGGGACGCGCCTCCGACATTTCGTAGAAATGTTGTAGCAGCTAAACTAATCAAAATATTGCAAAACTAAAAATAGTGGTGTAGACTTCAACATTTTTACTATCTATTATGTATAAAGCTAGTCAAGAATTGAAACATTTACTACCGGTATCTCTAAAAAATCGCTGAAAAAAAGTGTGAAAAGTGCAATTTTGGAAAAGTACCTCTGCTAAGGTCTGGAGCAAAAAAAATATTTGCCGTATTAAAAAATTTTATTTACATAAAAGTGTCACCCAGGTGTCAGCTCATTCAAAAAAAAAATGGCAGCCATTTCCGCACGCCGGCTCTACTCGGGACACCCCCCTCCCCCCAGGGTAATTAGGGACACCCTTAAAAATGCCTTTTTAGTAGAACCTCAGTTAGCAAAGGTTCCAGTTAACAAAAAAGTTGATTAACAACAAAGAATTTTGATTACATTTACCTTGCTCAGCGAAAAAAATTTCACTTATCAAAAAATTAGTGCATCAGTGGTCGTCACAAAATGCATCACAATGCATCAATGGTCGTCACAATGGTCGTCAGAAAAGTGCATCAATGGTCGTCACATAGAATGCTATATATAGAATTGTGCACCGGGCATCATAGAATGAAAAGTAATTGACCTAAACTATGATTTATTTCTCCAAAACATATTATGGTTGTTACTAAAACATTATTTTCTGTTTCAGGTATGTTTTTCACAATCTTTTTTGTTATAGTGAAATCACTTGACTCAATTAAAATTGCGCGAAATTATAAACAATCCTGTAAGCTTACAGATACAGAAGAAATGCCCTTGGCTGCTGATATGAAGCTTGCAGTGGACAAGGTCATTGTCAATGCTCAATGGCATGACCATGGATACAGTAATATCACATTAATAATACGGTAATTAATGAATATGGTAATATAATATCAATAAAGGAAAAACAAGTAAAAATCACAAAAAACGTCACTTATTTTACATCTACATCATCTACAATGAAAGAGGAGGACTTCAAAGTACTGTTATAATAGAGGAGTACACTCTGCATGCTTCAAACGTTTTAAAATTAACTTTTATTGCAAGTGTCCCGGATTACCCCGCTTTGAGGGGTAAATTGGGACGGTTTTATTTTGCGTCTGGCACCTTACGAATAGCATATGGAATTTTTTGAAGATGCCATTGGATAGCCCTTGCAAAGAGCTATAAAATGAGCCTAAACTTGTTTCTGAAATGTTTCGTGGTAAGAAGTTATTAACAAAAATTGCTCAAATCCGTCCCTTTTTACCCCGTTTGACAGTATATAATAATGAGCATACATGTATGTAAATACATACATATACAGAGGGGGGCAGTAGCGCGCTGTAGTGGCAGCTACATTTTCAGTATGGTTAGCGGCTTCATTTAAGCAATTGTAGCTGTAGCGGTAGCGCCCACTACATGTTTAAGTAGCGATACGGGGTCTTGCTGCTACAGCGCTACAGCTACATTTGTAGATAAAGCCTTTAGATTTTACTTAATAGTATTTGATATTATTTAAAAACCAGCATGATACATACATAATATAAATTACAGAATAAAACTGTATGAAAGATTTCGTTGTAATGTTGTCAACCTCAGCCTGTTACTAGCGTCGTCATGTTAGTTGTTGCCAAAGGTGGGCAGTAGCGGGCAAACATGTAACGGCCACTACCGTACATTTTCAGTAGCAGTAGCGACACTACATTTAGGCAATTGTAGCGGTAGCGCCTGCTACATTTCAAAGTAGCGCTGCCCAGCTCTACATATACCTACACTTTATACTGATTGTCCATGCAATATATATGCAGTTTATACTGATCATCTATGCAAACTACCAAATGAGTGCAAATGCTGTCCAATGTAAAAAGTCTGAATTTTCTCTATATCTGTAACCATCATAATCATGAGAATTTGATGGCATATTACAATTTAATGGCATTCAAAACTTAAATTTGGAGTATGGGACTGAAAATTTCGGTTTCAAGAACCCATCAATTCATAGCTGTCAGTCCAAAAACCTGTTTAGGTTTCCCAAAAATACCACCAACAGGAGAATTCCAAACCGCAATCATGATGCTCAGTCCTTGCTTTTCTTGTGTTCATAGATACTGTCATTAGCTTTCAAAGTGAGATCTTATGTATAATCAATTATTTGTTTTTCAGATGTATTCTCTCAACCAATTAAACAAGAAGTAAATTACCTTCAAATCTTGTAACAAAAACAGGAAGCATATTTTTAGCTCAGTAACCTCATAACAAACTTGAGAGGCAGCCATGGATTATGACTTGATGCATGTGGATGAAGATGAAAGTTCCATGCATGCAGATGAAGATGGCTTCTCTGATTGGAACTGCAACTCCTCATCAGAAGATGAGAATGAGGTGAGAATAATTAATTGTACTAGTGCAATTTAAATTTCGATTGAATTTAAATTAAATATAATGGGAGAGAAACAGAATCTTGCTTTGAACAAAATGTTTGAAAGCCTTTTTCTGCTTTATTGTATGGGATGGCAAATGCCAAACTTTTCTTTTAAGTTCAGGTTTTTCTGGGCTTGTATATTTCTAATTTCATAATAGCTTCAATATAACTATATATTATATTCAATATAACAATAATACATGTAATATATATCTTGTCTATCACCTTGGCTCACATATATCTACAATCACAATAGAAATGCTTTGAAAGTCAAGTTAAATGACAGGAGTACAAATTAATATAATGAACCTAGTGCAAAAGCAAGCAATATCATTCCATTAAATTCTTGCCCTGCATAAAAATTTCCCACAAAATATACATTTTTATCTGTATGTAATTCTATTCATTTAGTCCACTAATAAGATTTGGATTTCTATTTCCTGCAATTTCTGTGAATTGATTTTATATTAATAATGATTTTACAGCTCATCACAGTAGGACCCAGTTAAAAATATTTTCTGTAAATGTAATAAATATTGAGTAGGTTCTAGTGTTAAGCTCCTGAAATATTGTGTGCCCCTGAAATTGGTTATTTCTTTACATATACTACTGAGCTTTAGAATGTGGCTACATATCAATATTTGTTTAGTGAGCCTATTAATTTTTTTAATTCACAGATTGTGGCCATGTCTGTTGTGCCATCATCTAATTTGGAGTCATTCACGGAAAGTGACAATGAAACTGAAGAGAAACGCGAGTCTGATTTTCTTAATTCAATGAATCAAGAAACGCTGAACACTGGCCAGGAAATGTTGAGCTGTGACAAGAAGTTAGCACATACTAAACTAGATATAGATGCATCAACTAGTGTGCCCCAAGGTATTGAATCAATCAAAGAAACCATGAGTAATGAAAATAAAGATGCAGGTACATTTGACAAGGAATCGATGCCTAATAACACCACCTTAACTGATACCAATGGTAATCCTGCTAATAAGTGCCAGTTGGCCAAGCTTGACAAACATACATTTACTGAACCCAACCAGCCTCTTAGCCTAACATCCCCTGACTCATGGGCTTCAAGACAGGATAAGGCACCTACTTTACAGCCTGCTGATCTACAGCACAGCAATCCTGTCCTTCTACAGCCCACTAATGATCCAAGTCTAAAACCAACTGGTAGTCCATGTTTGAAGCCCCACAATGATGCACACTTACAATCCACCAATCATCCGCATTTGCAACCAACCAATCATTCATATTCTCAACCCACTGATCATCCATGTTTGAAACCTTCTGATCATCCATGTGCAAAACCTCAAAGTGAAGATAAAAAGCTAGGGGAATTTTGTGATATGAAACCTTCTGAATCTGATCATGTGACACCTCCAGAACATACCAATAATACCATTAAGCAGAAAGTTACTTATGAATATCAAATTCCAATGAATGATACTGGAAAAGATAAAAATAACCTTAACATCTCCTTTGAATCCAATAATTCTATGACTGCAATAGATAAAGCAGCAGACTATAAATGTAAGGAGAGAATGAGCAGTGCTGATGGTTGCCAGTCTAGTTCCTTAGAGCTGTGCTTGAGTGACTCTGAAGTGGAGGATGCAAATGAGGAAGAATGTCCTATTGGGAATGACAAGTTGAAAATGTCTGATGCATGTATAGAAAGCCAAGATAATTCTAAAAAAGTGGAGGGTACAAACAATGATAGTAATTCAAATTTGTCAAATGAAAGTAAAGTAACTGCTCAAAATAATATGTTACAGAAATCAGATTGCCAAAAAATCATTTTAGAAAAAGATGTGAATGGAATTGAATTAACAAGAGAAGGCAGTATTGCTCCTGAAAACCATGAAAAGGTGGGAACTATCTATTCAAACATGAACAATAATTCGAAAAAACAGGAGAATATGACAAATACCTGTGGAAGTGAAGCAGGAAGTTGTACCATTGACCAAAGGCTACCTACTAACTCCAGTGTGGGTGTTAATAGAGCTCTGGTGCCCACCCTTGATCAACCATGTCATAAGAAATGTCGTGTTGCCTTGGGGGCAGTTGATGATATGAATGTTGAGCAGGAAGTTATGGCTGAAAGTGAGTTTGTTGTTAGAGGAATTGTTGAAAACCATGTCCAAAATACAAATAGGTCAATTGAAAACGTTGTTGTTGATGAAAGAAGTGTTTTAGTAGCAGAAAACAATTATGTTGAAAATGTGGATTCGGTTGACCCTCTTTTTGATCCTCTTGATTTACCTTCTTCTCCAGCAGAAGCATTGGATGTTGGTGGTGATGAAATGTTTTCTGATACAGAAACTAATGAGAAATCTTCACCTGCAAAAGAGACTGTAGACAACTTGGTTCTGTATTCTAATCTTACCCATAAAAGTTCTTCCTCTATGGGAGAAAGTTCTGCTGTTACTTCAGCACCATCCACAAGCTATTATGATGACTGTAATAGAAGCAAAATTATATCCTCTGAGAGCCTATCTGAATTAAACCAAACTGTCACAAACGTCAAGCCATCCATTCCTGTAGATATGTTCAAGAAAGACCATTCCTTGAGTTTGGATCTTGACCAACATAATCCACTTAAAGACTGTCTTCAAATTAATGAGGCTTTTCCAAATTTGAAATCTGTTAGTCAAACTTCTAACCCCTCATTGTCTGGTCCAGGTAATACTTTTGAGAAGAGTAGTACACGTGATGATGGCCTGCAATCTCTTCCAACATCTTTCACCAATATCCTGCAGAACAATTTCCTAAACACGCAAAATAATAGAGGAATAACTGCTGAAAATGAAACACGTTCTAAAGATGAATCTTTTGAAAACAATTTTATTGCTGTTGAGCATGAGACTTCAAGCCCTCTAAAAAGTATGCCTTTTATAAATGCATCAAACCCAAAGACTTTGATTTCTGAGAGCCCAAATGAAAACCCTTCTGTTGAGACCATCAAAAATTCCCCTGAAATAGTATCTGATGCCGGCAACAAAGTCTTAAATGTTGAGGCATTGCCAAGCTCAGATGCTAACTCAATAACATTGAAGATGCAGCAAGAACAAACCATGCGGCAGATGCGAGAAGGACTTGGACTTGTACCCAAGATAAAAACCAATATAAAAGTTAAACCACCAATGAAAACAAATAAACCAGAACAAACCATGAGGCAGATGCAAGAAGGACTTGGACTTGTACCCAAGATAAAAACCAATATAAAAGTTAAACCACCAATGAAAACAAATAAACCAGAACAAACCATGAGGCAGATGCAAGAAGGACTTGTACATGTTCCTCAGATAAAAACCAATAAAAAAGCACAACCACCCATGAAAACAAAGAAACCATCATCTGCTCACCAGAAAAAGTTAACTCCAATATGGCAGATTTTTCTTGAACAAGCATCCAAGTCCGGTTGTGTCTGTGAGGCAAAGATGAATGAGTTCCTGAGCAAGTTCACCATGTGCATTGAATTTTTTAAAGAGAATTACTTCTCCTTGGACATGAATTCTCTGATGTACATTGTACATGAGCTTCTAGTCGCGCTTGACCTCAAGGGCACTCTGAACAGCCGTGTTTCGTGGTCACAACTTGTACAGTTACTTTTTCTTGAGGATGAACATTTGAAATCACTTGTCGACATTTCACCATCAAACAACAAACTCGGCTGCAACATTTTTGCCCTCAAGAATGAGGATCACCTAGTGAGAGTAATACAGGATTTTCTTGCTTGTCACTCAAAGGAGAATATATACTTTGCCGACTGTCTTCGAATACCCATTAATGTTAAGTCAGTTGCCAGTCCCAACAAATCTGAAGAAATTAAATCTGATGATGACAGTTCAAAATTAACCACCAAAGCTAATTCACAGCGAGATGGATGTAATTCCCTTCCCATGGATGTTGATCACCCCATTAAAGCAATGGAAAGTAATACACCAACCCCAACCTCATCATCCAATATCATCATAAGAGTTGACCCAAAAGGACGCGATGCTTCAACAAATTCTACAGCTCCAAAAGACCAGAAACAAAACTTGCTTCAGGCCACAATTTCAGTTTCCAGCATCTGCTGCATCCAGGCCTGTGGAGCTACAATCCCTTATGGCCTGTACTTCCCATCTGCTGAGGTTAGTGTTTTGTAGTTTATTGTGTGATTTTCATTTGCTGGTTTGATCCCAAAGTATTATTAATTGTGAAAGTTGTATATATCATATGTATATATATTTATATTACCCCTAACACTATGATACTGGGTAAGATTAATATACCAAACAGTAAAAGTTGATTTTAGCAGTGGAGCTGTCAATATTTCAGTTCAGTGCATTAGTTCAAGATATTCAGGGAGATTGAGTGTAAGTTCTTCCAAGTTGTGCATTTATATATATTTTATCCTTTTACTCTTATTCTGCTGATATGTTAATTTTATATCCTTTTTATAATGTGTTCTATTGTACTATCATCTAATCCACCATAATGTTCTACATGCAGGTACCTCTCACTTAATTTAGGGTTTTCCTATGATTACACATGAGTTTGTTACTAAAGCAATATATTCAATAATATAATTGCTTGAATATATATTCAAGCAATATATATGAATGATATAACATAATGAAAAATAATTATATTATCAAACTTGTATATATCCATGTAAAATGTACACTGAATTTATTTTTGGCTGTGACATTCTTACTCCTTGAAAATGTGCATAATGGTTCAACCTTAATGGAATATTACAATACACAATCATAATTTGATATTTTCTGCTGAGCAAGATCATTCATTCTGAATAATAAATATTTACCCCTTCATGCTTAACTTAAATCTTTGCTATATATATATAGTATCTTAGCTGGTATCTTCATAACATACTAGCTCATCTTCATGACATACTAGCTCATCTTCATGACATACTAGCTCATCTTCATGACATACTAGCTCATCTTTGTAACATACTAGCTCATCTTTGTAACATACTAGCTCATCTTCATAACATACTAGCTCATCTTTGTAACATACTAGCTCATCTTCATAACATACTAGCTCATCTTTGTAACATACTAGCTCATCTTTGTAACATACTGGATCATCTATGTTACATACTAGCTCATCTCCCTTCTCAAATGAACACCTAAACATCTTCATTTACATTCTATGTTCACTGAAAATTTATCCTTCAACATTTGATGATAATAACCCACAGATTATTTAAAAACAGTGTTTTTACTATGTAGTTTCATGAAAGCAACTTTAATTTTTTACTTTCTCATACCCACACTTGTCACCTAGCAGAATTATAGCCACAATTCTAAATGAAATTTGTTGCTCAACATTTATTGTTCTTGGGCAGATTAAGATGTAAGCAAATTAATGACGTAAATACCAGTAAAAAATTTTAAATAAAAAATTTGTTGATTTAAATATTTTCACATAATGGCATATCCAAGAAGCTTTTAATTTTAAATCATTTTTTACATCACCTTGACTTCTTTTATGCATTGTATAATTGTGAAAAATATTCAAAATTCTCAAGCCAATTTTTACATAAAAGTATTCTATAAAAAATAGTTTAATTCACAAGCAGATATTTAAACAAAAGTATTATAGTGAAAATATTTAGATTCTCATGACAATTTTCACATATCAGTGTATCACATGCAAAAATGTTGTATCATATTACTGTATCAATTTTATAAGTACCTACTCAATAATCTAGAAATTTATTGCACATCGTTTTAAATGTTTCTAACCCATTCATGAAAATTTCGTTCACAGACCAGAAGCAATGAGATAACACGGGAGCTATTCATGCGGTGGTTGCAAACTTACATTACCAACTCTAAGACCAGCAAGACGAACAAGACTCTCCTCATTGTGGACGGCGGCTGGAACTTCTTCCATTCCTATGCAACCATGGAGATCTGCCATCAAAACGGCATTGTTTTGATATCCTTGCCTCGCCAGAGTCGTGAGTTACTAAATCCAATCAAGATCCATATAGCCCCTAAAATAAGGGAACGATTCACGGAGCTTTTGTCGCAGCCAAAGAACTCGGGTCGGCGAAATATAGAGTTCCTGTCTAAAGCTTACTCCTTCGTACACAAGGTAACTGCAACCCCTGAGGTAATAGTGAGTAGCCTCTCCATATCAGGATTATGTCCTTTGAACCCTGCGATAGTGAAGAAAAATATGAGGGTAATGGTTACCTTGTCCCAGCCTAACGACTGCGTCAGGGTGGATCAGGTGATCCGTGAACTGACTGTCATTAGTCAGAAACGGGCTGCATTTCTCCGAAAATATGACACTGAGCCACCAAAAGATGCAATACCCTGTGCCCCCAACTCTATTGGCTTACCTAAACTGGTTGGATCTCAGGGCACTGTCACTTGTGGTAACCTCCGTATCACCAGACATGATTCAGGTAAATTGAATCATCATGGACTTGAATCATTCGGTAATAGAACCATCGTTACTCTACCGAATATCATGCGAGGTTCATCTTGGTCTCTAAGTTCTACTCCATCTTCAGGTTCTGCTGTGATTCCCTCGGTAGCCATAGCTAATACTTCCTCTAATACCTACACTACTTTAGTTTCACCGTCAATAAATACATCAGTAACAAAAGCACAGTCCACTTCAACATTACCTATCATTAATAAAGCTACAGTTCTTTCTGTTTCTTCGTCTGGATCACCCGTAAAATTTGCCGCAACAACTGCCCGTCCATCGCCCTTGCTGCCTAGCGCCCAGCTACAGAAGATCGTGTCTTCTACGCTGCCAGGGCTAGTGCATTTTTCAGGTGACACGTCCCACTGTGTCTCACCGTCCCTTCCATTGTCCAACAGCGTCCCACCGTCCCCAAGCTCCTCCCTTGCCCACACAGGTCAAGACTCATCCCTGCCAAGCACCAGTGACGGTAGGTCTCCGTTCTCATGGAAGCCCTTGTGCCACGTTTCAAAAGTTACTTCCTTGTCATCGCGGCCCGCTTCATCGACGGTGGTTGTAGTCAAGCCCTTCTTGATGTCCAACGCTAACACCTCTACTTCTTCTGGTCACTCTTCCCTAACTTCTACATCCAATGCTATAACCACTTCATGCGGAAAAGCTGCTACGATTCCTAACAGAATCTTGAGCACAACTTATGTTAACAATAAAAATGTTGCCTTCCCAATCGTTGGGCAAGGTCGGCTAGTTCCAAGTTTTAATTTGCCAACAATAATTACGACTACAACGAATAAAACTTGTTCAGATATTCCATCATCGGAACCCGGAAAAGTACAATGCGATGCAGTTCCAGCTGCATTCGGAAACTTGACTTCAGGACCGCAAAGTTCTCACACTGATTCAATAACCCCATCCCCTTGCGATACTTATAAATTGACCAAACCAATTGTAAAGTTTCAGGTTGTTTCTCAAAACAGGGAAAATTCTAGTATAAAGGTTGGTCCTAAGGTTGGCACTGTCAAACCTGGTACTAGAATTGTTTGCATTTCATCTGGATTGGCCAAGACTGGTTTAGGTGGGAACTCAGCCTCTGGAACTTTAGAACCTGGTATATTGGTTCCCAATGCATCCATAAACCACACACCTAAACCACTTCCTAAATTCACTTTACTAGCTACAGGATTACAGCCTTCTAGTGCAGGCCCGTCATCTTCCAAAGTTCGTTTGGTTCAATTTGGAAGTTCGTTATTCCGCAATATCCAAAATAATATTTCTGTTTCCTCTAGTGGTAATCCTGGAATTGGTAAGACTATTGCCTCGGCCCAGTTTCCTGGAGGCATTGATAGCTTAACTATTCAACCCGAGACAGATAAGGCAAAAATGTCAACGATGTCAACTATTCCCCAAGATGAGTCGTCTGCCAATCCAAACAAACGATTAAAGATTTGCCAGACGTGGTCCCTGCTTCCTTCTTGCAACGAACAGGCGTCTACCACATCGGGTTTTGCTACATCATCTGTCATGTCCACTCCTCTATATTCTACCGAGACAACCTTCGCACCTTCTACCGAAACAGTCTCTGCACCTTCTACCGAAACAGTCTCTGCACCCTCTCTTGGAACAGCCTCTGTATTTTCGTCCGGAACACCTTCTGCAGCTTCCAATACCCCCTTTATCCCTTCTCCCGGAACAGCCTCTGCACCTTCCAATACCCCCTTTATCCCTTCTCCCGGAACAGCCTCTGCACCTTCCAATACCCCCTTTATCCCTTCTTCCGGAACAACCTCTGTACCTTCTCCCAAAACAACCTCTACACCTTCCACCAAGGCCCCCTCTCCACCAACATTGGGTGTACCAGCCACCTCTCCGTCAGCGTCTAGGACCAGCGGCGTCTCATTTCCTGCTGACGCCAAGGAGGCAGAAAATGCTAATGCTTTAGTTTTCTGTTCTGAGCCTCTAAAAGAAATATCGACCATAGAGAGTAAAGAAAAAAGATCGAAAAAAAGGAAAATTCGATGGGTTGCCCAAGTGACCTATAACAAAAAACGAAAGATAAAAAGATCTTATGAATTGCCGATGGGACCTTTCAAGCGGTCCAGTTACCTGAGCTCCCAAACCAAGAAAAAATCTTGCGGTACAAGGAATATTGACTTTGTTGGGTTCCATCGAGGCTCTGACGTAAATGATGACAGCGAGCGAGCATCTTTGAACTTTTCTTCTGACGAAAATGATGACGTTTCAAAATCAAGTTCTTCTAAGAAGTTAAATTCAAAACGCAAGCGCAATGTCCTACGCGGGGACACGACATGTCCGGTGTGTGGAGACAACACTGAAGAGGCATGGATTCAGTGCATGCGCTGCCTAAGATGGATCCACGAACTCTGCGCTGACATCAAGGATATCTACTACTACTTTTGCGACTTCTGTGAACAGAACGCGGACCAAATCAAACAGAAAATAAGTTCGGGGGTCAAGAGCAATACAAGCCAGGTTTTCAGTCCATCGAAAGCAGGGCATGGAGGAAATAATTCTGATATGGCTGTTGAGAAAGCCAAGTACCCATCAGCCTCCGAAGGAGTTCTACATTTTAAGGGCAGGGAGGCGGTGATGGAACAACAGGGTTCGGAAACTGAAGAACTTAGCCTGCAAAGTGGGCTAACGGCAACAGCCCTGAATTTGAAGAAATTGAAAAATAAATCGAGTTATAGCAAACATATTGTTAACCAACAGAACGGAAGTGCTAAACAACAAAAAATCTCGCTGACTTCCCTAAAGGATGACAATTGTTCTCTTTCAAAAACAATCGAGAAACGTCCGCTATGGCTGAAAAACACAAATTTTGTCAACAATTTAGAGAGTGAAATATCTTACAACGATTTTACGCTTCCGAAGAGCTTTTTAGAACCCAAACAGACCGCCGGCATATCGCGTTCTTACACATCGCCATCTGGTGAAAATGTTTCGGCCTCTCTAGGAGATTCATCGGTTTCTGAAAATGTTTCGGCATCTGAAAATAATGTTTCGGCGTCTCTAGGAGCTGCATTGTCATCAGGAAAAAATGTTTCAGCCTTTCTAGAAGATGCATCGGCATCAGAAAAAAATATTTCGGCATATCTAGAAGGCAGTTCCCAGACAAATATCAATCCAGGATTCGACTGCCCTTCCAATTATGAAGAGGAATACGAAAGTGATACAAGTACAGATGCCGGATTTGGGTTCATTGTCTCGGCCCAGTCCATCGAACCTTCTGAATATGACATGCTAGACGATGAATCTAGTGATGCTTTGCCAGGCATGCCAATCCATAAAACTTCTGAATCCACCCCTGCGAAGTCGCCCTCATTGCCGTCTGTTGAAGTCGAGTCTTCTCGTTCTGATTTCGATGACGTACGTTTACCTGAAGAGCTTCCAGGAGATATTTTGGCCCCTGCAGATCCTGAAGCAGCTGGTAGTTCCACATGTCCCAGATGTCCTACTCCTGTAGGAGGTGATAGCTCCACAACTAGGTGCCCTAATCCTAAAATAGGTATCATATTACCAGGTTCAACTCAAAATACTGCGTTAAATCCCGATACCGAAATGCCGTCTAACCCGAGTTCTGCGAACACTGATACTCCTCCCGAAGTGCAGGCGAATAATAACAGTGATGTAGGGAATAAGAAAAGCACCATGCATTTACCCGTCTCGGATGGACAGTTCCACACATGCACGAATAACAGTTATGCTGGTACCATCCAAACCATGGCCTTTCGGTCCATCTCGGGGAGCGCACCGAGTTCACGTCTACCATCACCCACGTCCGAAGAAGTAAACGCAATAATTTCCGACAACCATCCTCCTGTTAGTGAACAAAACCAAGCAAGAAGCAAGAGTACTAGTCCGGAAGCTTTTCATATGCCGTACGTAAATTTCGAGAACTTTACAAGTGGTCCTGACAACACCAGTGAGCTGGACACCAGCAGCGACGACGTGGTGGTTATTAGTGAACATAAGACGGCCAACGTCTCCGACGATGACGATGTTGTTGTCATAAGCCAGAAGGGCGGGAACTCCGCTAACATCCGAGACAAAGATGGCGGCTTGAATAGTTTAGACAAAACCGCCGCCATGAATAAGGATGACACCGATGATGTTGTGATAGTCAAAAGCATTCCATCAACGGCGGGTTCTAATGCTAGAAAATCATCGGGTCCATCATCCTCGAGAGCTCCTTCATCTCCCCCAACCATCATCAAAGTTACCACGAACCCGGAGCTGTCACGAAAGTCGCCAAAGCCCCAAGAGTTAAATTGCATTTCATTCAAAGTTACAACGGGACCAAGGCGCTACCTTAAATAATGAGCACTCCTACCTGTGCTACCACTCCTACCGGTACTCCCATTCACTCCTACCAGTGCTACCACTCCTACCGGTACTCCCATTCACTCCTACCTGTGCTACCACTCCTACCGGTACTCCCATTCACTCCTACCAGTGCTACCACTCCTACCGATTCTGTTGAATTGAAATTAAAAAATTAAATTTGTTTAAACTATTTCGAATAACAAAATTGTAGAATATCTACTAGATCTTATGGTTGAACCTATACTAGTACTGCAACGCTAGAAAGTAGTGTGTAGCGTACTAGTTTAAATAGTGATATTGTTGCTTGAATGTGTTATCATTATATAATGATTCATCTCTTTAGGGGTGATTATACCTCTAATTCATCCCCTAGTGTTGAATTACCCCTTAATGGTAAAAATTTTATTCAACTTAGCGGATTATTGGGAATATGGAAAATGAATGTTAAATGAATATAATGTATTGTGTACAATATAAACTGTAATACAACATTTCCAGTGTTACATGTTCAATGGACTAACAATGTGAACAAGTTAGAGAATTAATGTTATCATGGAAAGTTTGTTATATGATTATTTGTTCTATTATTATTAATGGTTTTTCAGTATATATCATGCGTCCGACATGTCAGTATCATGCGTCCGACATGTCAGTATCATGCGTCCGACATGTCAGTATCATGCGTCCGACATGTCAGTATCATGCGGCCGACATGTCAGTATCATGCGGCCGACATGTCAGTATCATGCGGCCGACATGTCAGTATCATGCGTCCGACATGTCCGTATCATGTCATTTATCGATGTTCTTCTATGCTGTTTTGTTTGACTGATGTAACTTGATGCCGTGTTAACAGGAACATTAAATTTTCAATTGCTGTTGATGTTTATTTTTCCTTTATAGTTTCGAGGAAAAATACGAATTATATATAGCCTCATCTCGTTTCTATAACCTTTTCAAAATTAATCCCTTCGTCGGATACTATCTAAAAATAATACTATCTAAAATATACTAATACTAAACTACTAAATACTATCAGGATACTAAAATACTATCAGAAAATATTATTTCACAACTAGCGGCAGGTTTCGAACTTCTAACTCACTGCTTCAGTTTTGAAGATCTTAACCACTCGGTCACCCCGAGCTTTACTTTTCAAGTATGGCGCTCAGATCGCGTTACTAACATTGATGCATGCAAAACTCGTATCCTTGTGAAAAATAAGACGGAAAAATTGCTATTGTAAAGATCGTTGAATTATCAGAGGTTCATATTCAAATAAGGTTAGGAGAGGATGGACCTCTGCAGTTTATTTATTGTTGTAAAGTACAGAGCGGGTGGTTAACTCGTGGTTTGAGCAATTTTAAGTGACAAAGATAGCATCGATTGATTGCAGTAATCAGGATTGTTTTTTATAAAATATAGCAGAAAGCTACGCTACGCGATGACAGGTGGGGAGGAACTGCCGTAGATTTGAACCCTTAATTTTACATTATTTCACGCCATCTTTACTTCCAAATCGAGCGCGGGAGAGGGGCGAAGTGTTAAGATATCCTTGATTGGAGCATCGAGTTTGGGGGTTTATCCTTAGCTATCCGTGTGAAATACTGTCTGATATGAACGGGATGTGCGGGTAGAGAGCACTGGGTTGCGGTTTCGACCTTCAGCAATGCTTTAAACGTTCATATCTTATCGTACGAATAAGTGGTTGGGATCTTTAAGGTGGACATGGATTGGCCGTCCAAAGCAGTTAGATGTGGTTCCAAGACCAACTTGAATATTCCGAATTTAATAGTGATCGGTAACAGGCCAAGAAGACATCATGAGCCGAAACGTAACAAAGACATCATTGTCTTATGAAGCCGTCATGTCCCACGCCACCGGTTATAGTTCGTTGCTGAGTTGAAATAAAATAACATGTTTTGTAGTTCACCAGCTGCATTGAAAGTAGGTATGCTACATCATAAATTATAAATGCCCTCATTGGTACTCACCTCTGTGTGCAAAGTAGAAAAATTATGAAGATATAGTCCGATTGGTTAATTTTCTATTGCTATTCTCTGCATCAGTTTGCTCACGAACGGTCAAATTTGAAATCAGTAAAGGACTTCAAACAACCTACAACGCGAAGCTTCTAAATAGAAAAAGAGATTCACGGATTTCTGAATTAGCCATTCTTAAGCTATATTTCTACATCTAAAAACTATTTCAGATTTAGTTAAAATATATATTGATGTGCAAATGAATGGAATATGGCACTTTTATTGTTCATATCCGTTACACCATTAATTATCGCAAGTTTCCGGACGGAAGTCTTCATCCGATTTTCTTCACATATCCCGGAAAGAAACAATTTTCTTCTAGCCGAATTTGTTTTTGTTTTTTATTATGTTACTTGCCTTCTACAACTACATCTGGACAACAGGAGTACCTCACCAGTGGCATGCAGCACACATACTCCCTTTTCTAAAACCCAACAAACCACCCACAAATCCATCATCATACCGGCCCATAGCACTCACAAATAGCTTATGCAAACTCTTTGAGAAAATGGTAACTCTCAGCTCCTTAAAAGCATTACAACATGCACACCCAAAATCTCACTACTTGGTCCTCAAAATCACACACCTCCTAGCTGTCACACCAAACAAATTCATACTAGCATGGGTTCCATCACACATGGGCATAGAAGGAAATGAGCTTGCAGACAAGATTGCCCAAGAGGCCCTATCACTACCACATCAATTGCCCATAACACTCTCAGACCAAGAACTGAAACAGATAATCTCAACACACTATCACTCACAATGGCAACATCAGTGGCAAAACTCCACCGCTAAACTGCTTCCTTACAAAAACACACTTGGCCTATCTCCCTATCTGGACCTCAAACGATCACATCAAGTACCACTGTCACGTCTGCGCCTGGGAGCAACTCGGCTCACCCATGCTCACCTTTTTACGGGACAACAGCCTGCTCACTGCCCCTCCTGTGACCAAAGATGGACTACTGCTCATCTACTACTGGAATGCCCTGTGCTGCAGCAGCCAAGACAGCCCCTGGACCAATACTGCAAAGAGATGAACTGGCCTTTCACACTGACAACCCTACTAAGAGATGATTTTCCAGCTGAGAAACTAGTTACCTTTCTGTCAAAGACGGACTTCATCGACAAGCTCTAAAGAACAATACCACAAGCTCTGACCAAAGCACCAGATGCCCAAGAAGGCTGGTGCTAAAAATTCAACGAGATTATTATGTTATTGTCGTTGATTAACAACGATGTCAGTTGAATAATTATTACCCGTGTTTGCCTGTCATATTACCTAATTAGAACTCCCATGCAAATTGAACGTTATATTTTTCTAATTACACTCTAAGCACTAAACAGTGATGTTAACTTAATCAAATGAAATGTTCCTAGTCTTTTCATTTTTATTCATAAGATCTAATTGTATGGTCATTCAAGATTGGTGATTTTTTTACTTTTTTTGTATTGCTGAAATATTTACTGTTGTCAGCCGTCTGCTGTGCAGGAGGGAGTAAACAAATACAAAGGCCAGTAAAGGCAAGCCAGCGATTGAGGAGATCAGAGGCAGGCTTTGTCCCGAGGGACCGAGGGAATGCAGGAAGGAGGTAGGAGGGTAGGTACTGTCAGTGTCAGACTGTCAGTCTGTCAATGTCATTATAGTCAAATCAGTCAATCATCACTCAAAGTCTCAATGTCACTATGCCAGATTAGGTACCAGTGCCCCCTAAGTTGTAAGTTGCTACTTGCTCACAAGCTACTTCCTACTGCACTTCACTTGCTGGTGCTTCCGCTGGGTGCAGACTTGATCACTTGCTTTATTAAATTAGGTATTTAATAGCTAACCCCTTTGCTGCTTGATTGCTTTGTGTTTGTCAGTAACAACCACATATGATATAATATTGGTCAGAATAATAATTTGTAGGGTTTGGATGTAACATAAGGTCCAAGGAGAATTTTTTTGTTGAATTAGAATTTTTGATCATGATTAAAGTTTGTGGCTCAGTTTTGTTAAAAATTATCATTTAATAATAATAATAATAATAATAATAGCAGTTTCAGCGTTTATTAGGCCATAGGCCTGTTGCCAATTCTTAACATTGCAGAACATTCGTTTATTTAAATCTTTTAGGAATTATTATAGGCAGACAATTAGATAAATACAGAATTAAAAATTTTTATTAATTTCCAAAAAATTTTGTCTATCTAAAGTACCTACCTAACAAAATTTCAATACATATAAAAAAAAATTTTGAATGTCCTGGCCTGATTGTGCACTTATCCTAACAATTAGATAGAAGATTAGCTAATACCCTTTGTGTTCATTAAGTATTAACCTAGGAATGTAATGTTAACCTATGCTTATAATCTATAAATAAAATAACATGTATATGGTAATAACCATAATAATAGCCATAGTAATAACCTATGTGTTCATCACTATCTGGAGATTATTGGAGATTAATCAGAAAAAATCAATAAGATATTGTATTGGTTGTTGTCAGATTCAGATCCTGTGTCATATTTTATTGCATATTTGCATTTATAAATATTTTATTGCCAAACAAAGACTAAAATGATGAATTTTTCTGTCATGTCAAAATACCGTAAAATGGGGTAACTTAGACCACTTTTTTTTATAAATGATGCCATTTTTTTACTAGCTAAATTAAACTTGAATTGAAACATGTAAAATACAGGGTGCGGCGCGGGAACTTACTTATTTGAATTGCGCGCCACGTGGCGGCCATTAGTCCTAGGAAGGTGGCGCCATGCGCAATATGGTGCGCGGGCTATGAAGTTTTTCGTCCACTCAGTTCAGTTGCGACCATGCAGTGGTCGAGAGAGGAGCGCGCGTTCGCAGTCTCTGTGTACTTTTCTAGTGGCCGGTCTATCGTTGCAACCCAGCGTGCGTTTAGGAGGCAGTTTAATGTCGCGCCCACTGGTCGTGTTCCTGGTCGTACATCAATCGTTCAGTGGGTGAATACTTTTATGAATACAGGCAGTGTGTGGAAACAAAAACCAGGTCCTTCCAAAACCACTAGGANTCTATTGTGTAATGTAGCCTCAGTATTAGGCCTTTAATGCCCATTGACAAAATTTTTCTATGTCAAATAGTTTTTGAGTTGTGGGGGTTTTTGTTAAAAAAACGAAAAGTGGTCTAAGTTACCCCGCCGGTCTAAGTTACCCCATTTTACGGTATGCAATTTAATAGTTCCTGTTCACTCTATTTTGTTCATGTTCATGCATGATTATGGTTTGAACTATAATTTGTTCAGAGTTTCAGACCTTATTGTTCTCTGGAAGATTTTTATCTACTGTAATATTTGTCTTTTTAAAAAAAATTTTGAACCTTTGAAGTTTAAGATAATTTATTATGATAGATGTGGGAAGAAATTGTAATGTAATATTCATTTGAGATTAAAATTTTTTTTTTCATGCATGAAGTATATACATGATGGTTGCAATAGAATTTTTTATCAGTTAATTTTTCATGATTTCAATAAATATTTTTGTTTATACATATTGATGGATGGAAATTCATTCAATGATTTTAGAATTAATGGTAATATTTGGGGAAAATTAGACCAATATGATATATCATATAAAAACATTCTAAAGAGAAGTCTTATTGTGTTGTAACAGAACTGCTGGTGGTTGACTGCCATTCTTCTATCACGGTAATTTAATTAAATTCAATTCATATATTTATCAATATTCTATTCTAACTTTAAAATGTACCGCTCTTTCTATCAACGCATGAAAATTTTTCAGATCATAAACAATTTAAATGCATTTATGTCTTTTTCTCCAAATTTCAGTAATGAAGTAGAATAGTGTATCAGTGTAATTATAGAACTTTTAGTCAATATTACTGACTCTAAAGTCTGAATTTATGCTATGTATGCCATGTAGCATTCACTTTCTTTAAAATATATTTTAATACTTCTAAGATGAGTGAGACAATAAAAGACATAGTTAATAGCAGTGGCAGGGTTGGACTGTGCAAGGACTCGCAGCATCCACGTCAAGGTAGCACGTCTCGTAACCGAGACTACTCGGTGGAGCAACTGCAGCAAGCGGTGACAATGGTTGTAGCATATAAATACTCCCAAAAATCAATATGTCACGCCTACAACATTCCTCAGCAGGTTTGTACATTTATTTTATTAATTTAAAAATATTTTATATCATTTGACTGAAAATTGGGCTGCTTGATTACCAACCAAAAATTACTGAGCTTGATTTAGTTTCTTTCAATTGCCTTAGCCGGCAAATATTTCTGATAGAGGTACAAAATATTAGGGCTGGCAGATTTTGTACCAAGCTCACTGAGAACTTGTCAGCTAAACTAACTAAGAACTGGTCAGCTAAACTAACTAAGAACTGGTCAGCTAAGCTAACTAAGAACTTGACTGCTACCTAAACTAACTAAGAACTTGACTGCTTATCAAAGTTTTAAATCATCAGTTTAATTAAAGGTTAGTTTATCAGGATGTTTACGTTGGTCACTTTTTGTTCCCTATTGACTTATCCCATTATCATTATATAGTATTGTTCTTTTTATTGTAATATTGCCCATGTTGCCTGTGAAGCTTTTTAGCTTATATGGGGCATTCACAGAAAAGCATTTTGTATTTTTTTTCTCCAAATTTTTTACATTCTATTGAAATGAATTTATGTGTGCTCCTTTGTGAATAAAGAATGCTAAGCTAAATAAGAACTTGACTGCTAAGCTAACTAATAACTTGACTTCTAAGCTATCTGAGAACTCAACTGCTATGCTAACTAAGAACTTGAATGATAAGCTAATTAAGAACTTGACTGCCCAGGTGCTGCAGTCGCGCCTCAAGAAGGAGTATTGCTACTCCAACAGAGCTCCGTACAAGCCGTACCCTGCGAGCGCCATGGAGGAGGCCATCCGTCTGGTGCAGGAGGAGGGCGTGTCGCAGGCCGAGTCTGCCAAGCGCTGCGGTGTTCCTAAGGCCACACTTTACTGCAGGTGTCTCTTGTAAATGTGATGCTTTAGGTTATTTTTAACTAACAATTGTAATCATTTCGTGTAAGATGATCAATAATTTGTGATGCAAACCTTTTCCAAAAGTGTTTTAATTTAATTTGTTGAAAGGTTGAAGCCAAATGAACAGACATACTTTATAGTAAATCGACTGTATAACCAAATTATTTTCTAACTGTTATGGAAGTATTGCATCTTTTTTGAAGGAAATGATCAGGTATTTGTCCGTGTTAATGTAATGCTCCAAGTTATTCAGATGTTCTCAAGTTCACCTGATAAACCACCTTTATTGATCAATATCAACATTCCTTATATAATTTTAATGAAACCTGTATCTTTTGAGTTGATCCTGATATCATAATGTTATCTGGATGGTGGAATTTTGATGATGATGTCTTAACAACAGTTCATCACTCATAAGAACTGGGCTCAAGTACAGGATCAAGATGGTAGACTTCAAACTGGTTACCCTGTTTGTTACCATGCTTTCATTAAAGTTTTTTTTATGTTATAGTGCAACCAGCTTTTCTTACCTCAATGAGCCTACCTTTTCCTTCCTACCTTTTCTACTTTTTCTACAACGATCCTTCCCACCTTTTCTACAAGTATAATTACTTGTTTCCCCATTGTACAAAGAAACAAGTAATTATACGCAAGTGCATTTCTGTATGTAAGATCCTATTATCCTAACTGTGGGGTTTGGGGGCTATCTGATTATAGTACCTGTTTAAATGGATAGTATAAAATATTTTGTATAATTGGCCTATGCAAACCACAAGTTTATCAAGAATTCAATAGAAGAGGAAAAATTCATGATGGTATGGCTACTTGAATTTTTTGTTAACATGTTGACCAGATTTTTGCCTCACCAGACTGGGCAAGATGAAGGCTCAGGCCGTGCTTGCGGATTGTGATGAGACAGAGACTCAGATTCACGACTCAGAAACTCCGAGTCATGACTCAGAGACCCAGAGTCACGAAGGTTTGATGGATAGCAAGAAGAGACGACATGACTCAGCGGACGATGTCAGCATCCATTCTAATGGTGAGTTATGTATCATTTGGTACAAACTATCATTTGCGACCTAGCATTCTTATTGTGGCATCCATTCTAGTGGCGAGGGTAAAGTTGATTGCTGGTGAGGTTTCAGTTTTTTTTATGCAGTATTTTTGGCTAGAATTGAGAATTTTTAACATTAAATTTTGGAAGCTGCTATTAATTATATAAGAAGCATTCTATATGAATTACCATTTATATGTATATGAATTTTTCTCATGGAAAATTGAGTCAGGCAACTGTTAATTCTCGACACAAATTTATTAACAATTCCAATTATATCTTTTTTCAGGACGAGATATTTTTTTCAATTTTGGTTTTCATTTCCAGGCACCAAGAAACAAAAGGTTGAATCGCCACCTCAAATTTCATACCAAAATCCAGACATGAGTGAAGACTCGGCATCATGCCCCAACCAGACTTCTTTTGTGGGGTTGAACTCCAAAGGGTCTTCCAAATCATCTCCTGATCTCAACGGGTTTTCAACTTTCAACCAATTCCCCATCAATGGGGAAGACGTGAAGAATAATTACAGTCTTTGGGGGAATGGAGAGGAATCAAGTGGGTTTAGCTTGTGGGGAAACGAGTCATTAATTATGGGGAATGAGTCAATAATTGAACCTGATGGGAGTTTATTAGAAAGAGCGGCTCGACTCGTACAGAAGTTCCGTCTGCCTCCCCGTGGGGTTGCCAAGCAATTCAACATCCCGTGTCCTGTGCTCATGAAGAAACTCGGGCGGGGGTTCATGAGGAATGAGGATGTACAAGTCCCCGTACATGTTAAGCGGGAACTTGACGGGTGCGTTGAAAATGACTTATTTCCCACACCGGTTAAGCACGAATTTGACACGTGCGTTGAAAGCGCCAAATTTCCCATACATGTTAAGGGGGAACTTGACGGGTGTGTTGAGAATGACTTCTCTCCCACACCGGTTAAGCAGGAATTCGATGGGTGCGTTGAAAACAACATATTCAACAACTTCAAAAATGAAAAAGTTGACACATCACACACAGCAGGTGAGGACTTTTCAGGGTTGAGATTTGTTAATGATTTAATATACCTACTATTTATATTTATGGATTAAATATATTTTCATACAAAATATTTCTTATTAAGAAATTATTCAACCATAATACTTATGTAAAATCCTCTTGGTTTTAAATTTCATTTATATAAAATTAGTTTATGATAAAATTAAATCAATACCTAAACATTTAATCATTTTAATATATTGAAATTTTAATGTCTGTACTTGCAAATATATTATTGTATTGAATGATGTGCAACATGTAAGCCTGCATCATGAATGAATGTTTACATTTTACGTCATGAATTGTAAAATGTAAACAGTAAACAAGTACTAAGTACGGTATTGATGATATCATAAGTATTTAGAAACTTTAACAAGTATTTGTTAATTATTCAGAAACAAGCTCCTAGAAACTTCATTTGTGTTTATTGATGACCCAAACATTTAGGCAGAACTGATTATTATTTCATTATTACAACTAATTAGTATTATTAAATTATAATTAGGCATTATTTTCCTTCTCATTTGAAACATACAAAATTACAAACTTTAACATTTGTCTTAGGTCCTACGATATCTTCCCGTATTGCAAGTGTAACAACGACTGAGAAACATGGCAGCAATTCAATAGCGGATGATGGGAAAAACACGACTGTGGATCTTGGGCGTGACAAAACATCTGAAGCTAATGGGAGTATGACAGAGGCTGAAAATTCTTCTGAAGGTAATGGTAATGTAACATTAGATGGTAAAAATTCCTCTGAAGCTGATGGGAAAATGTCAGTGAGAGCTGAAAAAACCTCTGAAGCTAATGGAAATGTTACATTAGATTCTGAAAAAGTCACTGCAGCTAATGGGAATGTTACATTAGATGCTGTAAACTCCTCCAATTCAACATTAATAGATACACATAATTATGATTCTAAAATTGAAATTGTTTCTTCAAGCAATAAGCTAACTAGCCAAGCATCAAATTTGTCGAATAAAACATCACAAACAATTTTGGCCATTTCTGAAATGGGCAACAAGGATTTTGGCGCTGAAAAAGTGTTGGCAGAAGGACTCAAGGAAGAAATAAATTCCAATGGACTTCACGATGTTGAAAAAAAGAATGAGAATTGTGATGGGTTGGAGACAGCTGAAAATGAATTAGAAAATCATGATGGACTTGAATATTCTGATGAAAATACGGAAGGTGTAGATAATGATGAAAAAACTGTTGATAGTGACTCACTAGCTATCGACGAGAAGACTTGCAATGGTGAAGATGGTGAAACTGATGGTGCTGCTGCCGGGGATGCCAGTTATGGTTAGTGAATGTTATATGTATTGATATTTATTTTACACTGGTTCCTCTACCAAACACTTGCTACTCTACCAAACACTTGCTGCTCTACCAAACACTTGCTGCTCTACCAAACACTTGCTGCTCTACCAAACACTTGCTGCTCTACCAAACACTTGCT